TTGGAGAATAATAATTAAAAATTATTTTATAAGACATATGCTTGGGGTTTACAAATTTTAAAATTTGGTTTCAAAATAAGATAGCAGTGTTAAATAGAATGATTATCTCCCATCCCCCTCACTCTGATGCATACTTTAAGAGCTAACAGAGTTGTACCAGAGTTTAGTTACAAGGAGCTTACAGAATACTTAGGGAGGGGGCTGGCAATCGATGCGCGTGTACTCTCACTTTAGCTTAGTAACCTCAGGACAGATGTGACAGGAAGGCCTTTTGGATCGATGAACTAGGTAAGCACACAGAATTAGGGACCACTGTTCTCCCTGAGCCAATTCACTGATACTTAGTATGAACCCAGAAAATCCTTGGGGGCTTCTGTTAATTTCTTTTAAGAAATTTTTAAAACCATAAAAAACACAGTTATGTAACAGTCAAAGATTCTGTTACTCACAATTGACAGTTAACATTGCCATAATTACATAAATGTTTTTTGTTAACAAAATAAGTGAAATAAAACAATACAGAAAAAGCTTTGTTCTTTGTATCCCATCTCTAGTTCTATCATGAATTTAGAGTAAATACTTCAAGTCTCTTTTTATATTTTTAGTTATATATATTTATATACATGTATATATATGGTGAAAAGCGCACAATTTTTTGTGTGTATTTAAAAAAATTTTCCTAAGGAGGAAACTATATTTTCTTTTCTTTATTCCTTCTAAAAAAAAAAAAAAAAGAAAAAAAAGAATGTGCACAATGTGCAGGTTTACATAGGTACACATGTGCCATAGTGGTTTGCTGCACCTACTGACCCGTCATTCTCTAAGTTCCCTTCCCTCATCCCCACCCCACAACAGCCCTGGTGTGTAGTGTTCCCCTCTCTGTGTCCATGTGTTCTCAATGTTCAACTCCCACTTAGAGTGAGAACATGCTTCACTAGGAAACTGTATTTTCATCTTCATCAAAGAATTCTTTAAAATATGAAATACTATTTTTAGTCTTTGATTTTTTACATGTAAGTTGTTGAAGTTATTAAGATGCAGCTTTGGGGTAATGATGGGGGCAAGATGGAGGAGTTTAGTAGCTGAGCAAATTCTGGTGTAAGAAGTAGTTACTATCTGCAGACTCAGTCCTACCGAAGGCATATGTAGTGTTAATCTCCAGTCTTGTCTGTTCTGTGGTCAGAGGTGACCTATAAATACTGTTTGTATGAAAATAAATAGTTGAACTTATGCATTTATAGTCAAGATATAGCCATTTATATATATGAATGGTAGTTAAGTATATAGTTAAATTTAAACTGTTTTGCTTTGATTCAGATACATAGTTAAACATATACATTTATAGTAATGTGCATGTAGTATAGCATATCTTCTAGTTATTTATCTTTGGTGGAATGGGTAAAGGTGCAGTACTTCTTATGAATCTAAGGGTCATTACCCTTGTATTGTGATCCAATAAACTCTGTTCTTTCCTTAAGCAAATGCTTGAGATACTTAACTTTGGCATTTAATAATTGTGTTTTTATCTATGTGTGTTTCCTCTTAGTAGATTATGATCTCCTCGAAGGCAAAGGTAGTATATTTTATTTATTTCTGTACTTTCAATAATACCAAGGGCCAACTAGTCAATGTTTTCTGTTAGACTAGTCAGTTTAGTTCATGTAAAATGAAGAAAATCATCATCATCAGATTTATCTGTGTTCTGAAGCTGTAAGGAAATTAAAAACTGAAAGCAATTTTAATAACTGCTTAATAAGTTTAATAACTAGAGCAGCAAATTTGAACGATTAGACAAAAAGTAAATGTGAAATACTGATATTAATTTCTCAACTATTTCAGAACAAGTTGTGTGTTTCTTTTGAAATAAGCTCAGGTTCCAAGAGGAAATTCTCAATATGATACTTAGGACTATTTATTGTTAATGATATGGTGGATTGGATTGTCAATCACCAATTCGGGCAGTTCTCAATTTAGAAAGAGATTATGCTGCAAATGTGCTTCATTGATTATAACTTGGAGTATATTTTCCTTATAGAAAGAATGGTACAAATGATTTCCATATTAGCATTCTTCTGGTTTTGATACAATTGAATGTATTTTTTCTGCATTTTATGAAGAGTAAGTTAATAATTACTAGCATTTTTTCATAATACATTACTATTAAAGTAACAGGAATGAAAATATATATTCAAGTATATGTTCTTTTAACTTTTCATTTTTTGCTAGTAAAATAATATCTAGAATTTTATTTACTAGTAAAATTTAAAAAGATAGGCTGGGAGTGGTGACTCATGCCTATAATCCCAGCACTTTGGGAAGCCAAGGCAGGTGGATCACCTGAGGTCAGGAATTTGAGACCAGCCTAGCCAACACGGTGAAACCCTGTCTCTACAAAAATTCACTGGACCTGGTGTGCACACCTGTAATCCCAGCTACTTGGGAGTCTGAGGCATGAGAATTGCTTGAACCCAGGAGATGGAGGTTGCAGTGAGCCGAGATTGTGCCACTGCACTCCAGCCTGGGTGACAGATGAGACTCTGTCTCAAAAAATAAATATATAAGATAAAAAATAAATTTAAAAAGATAGCACGTTTAAATTTTCTATCATTGTTTATTTTTAGAAAGTACTTTCCCCATTAATCTTACCACTTCTGCAAACACTAACAAGTAGCGTGTTCTTCTTGGAAATCTGTTGAGTAGTTCCCAGAGGTAAAGCCAGATAGATCTACCTCTGAAATATTCTGATTTATAATATCCTTTAAAGTTTATCTGAAATATAATGTTTTAGGACCTCATTTATGTTGTCAATGAATTTTTAGAATATTGAGCTCATTTTCTTTCTCTTTGCTCTAACCATGTAAATGTTCTTGGTATATATTTGGAGGAGGACTTAAATAACAAGAATTGAAATGATGGCAGTCATAGCTTTTATTTATCTGTTTATGCCAGATACTTAAACAGAAGCCATTATTATCTCTATTTTGTGTATGAGGAAACTGAAGCCTAGGTTAAAGGATTTGCTCAAGTCACACAGTTAGGGAGATGCTGAGTTAAGATTTAAACCCAGATTTATCTCATCTCCAGAGGCTGTGATCTTCGTACTGCACCTACTGTCCCAACAAAAGGAAGACTTGGACATTTCCAAATGCTGCATATTTTGAAAAGAACTTGGGATGCAAATATTAATATTACTGGTTTTTTTTCATATCAAAGAATGATATAACTTTTGGGTAGAGTGATTAGAGAAGCAGGGTATAAACTATTCAAACCTAAGTATAGTATTTCGTGCATAAAAAGGTGGATTTGGAGCCATTAGAAGTCCTACCAAAGTCAGGTTCCAGATTCTCTCTCTTCTCATTCTGTTTCATGCTGAACTTTCTTGTTAAATGAACGATTTGTAAGCTGACCTGGGAAAAAGAGTGAGAGCAGAACATGTCTTACCTGGGAGATTAATAGTACTATGCAAATAGGGAAGTAAGCCTCATTGAGTCAATAAAACGCTTTCAATAACTGTTTGCTGAACTTCAGGGAGCACTGGTAAGCAAGACTGAATTGTAAACTAGGAGTGCGTTAGGAGTAGTAGAGTGAGATAAATAAACAGGGATGTTGTGGAAACTGAAAGGAGGGCTACTTTACTCCTCATGTAATGAATTATAAGGAGGTCTCTCAAAGGAGATAATGCTTGTTTCAACTTTGTAGGATGAATAGGACTTAGACTGAAAGGGAAGGTGAGCAAAAAAAAAAAAAACATTTACAAACAAAATGGAAGAGTAGTTTTTCAGAGTTTGGGGTGCCTTTTGAATGAGCCATACCGATTATAATTCCCATCAATACCTTGCAAGTCATGAGAGCAAGAAATTCAATGTTCAGTCATTCAAATTTTAGGAAACAGTTGACTGTCTTGTGATATTTTGAAATATTATACCCTGACAATAGGTTGTGTATATGTTCATAGGGAAAACCTATTCAAGTTTTCTGCATTCCTAGATTGTTAGAGCAGCCAGCATCCTCAGAGATCATCTCGTCAGTTCCAATTTTCATTCAACAATAACATTTGCTGTGTATTAGTCACAGGACACAGATGAAAAGATGGATGGACCTTGTCTTCAAGGAACTCACAGCCTAAGAGAGGAAATAAACATACAAACAGACAGTATACAAGTTTAATAAAGTGCTATAATTAAAGAGTCAGGTCCTGTTTAGACACAGGAGAGCTCATTAATTTTTTTGAGGATTAGCTAGGTAAAAGTTTTAATTAGATCTTGAAGAATCTCGAAAAGCAGTTCATTTGTGACAGGGAGGGAGGATATTTCAAGTCGGGGGTGTGTTGGTTATTGAAAAGATAGTTTTTAACATTTCTGCTTAAGTTTTTCAGTCTGGGTTCTTCAAATAAACAAAGATTATCTAAAATAATTAAGCCATGTCATGACCTTTTTTAGTTGTCTGTTAATAATATAAGTTAGCCTAAGCATCTGGTTCTCAATGTGTGGTGCTGGGACCAGTGCATCAATATCCCCTGGAAACTTAGAAATGCAACCTCTCAGGCCCCAACCTAGACCTACTGAAACAGAAACTCTAGGGTGCAGAGCCCAGCGATCTGTTTTCACAAGACTTCAAGGGAATTCTGATGCATGCTCAAGTTTGAGAACCACTAGCCTAAGCTAACAGTAATACATGGAATCATTGAAAGTTCATGGACTTTGAGGATTTGGAGACCTGAATTTGAATCTCACCTCTCCCACTTAATAAGTTTGTGACTGCTAATCTGTCACCTAATATCTGTGAGCATTGAAATTTTCACTTATCAAATGCAGGTGATAATGCTTTCTTCTCAGATTGTTGTGAAAATTTGTGAATATAGTGAGTGTCTAATATTATAACTGGCACACTGTAGGCTTTTGATAAATGGTAACTACTTTTATCATTATTGTTATCTTTTTCTTGATACTTCTTCAGTGATTACTTACTGAATGAAAACATCCTCATATTTTTTCTTATAGATTCAAATGCTCAAGAAATTAAGGACATCTATGGCCTGAATGGACAAATAGAGCACAAACTAGCTTTCCTGAGAACTCATGTGCCAAAGGACATGAAGCTTGTGCTCATTGGCCATTCGATAGGCAGCTATTTCACTCTTCAGATGCTGAAGCGAGTCCCTGATCTCCCGGTAAGTAGGCCTCCAGAGGTGACTGTGGTTGCTTGACTGTGTGTCTGCACAAATCCTCCTCACCTTTCCTATGCTCTTTTGTCTCTTGTTTAGTTGATGAATAAAATAGGGAGAGGGATATTTGGTTGCTGCCTTTACTCTCATATCCATATTACCATGGGCTTATGTGAATATGTGTTTATAATGTTTCAAAGAATAATGCCTGGGGAGATAGGAAGTTTCTGAAAGAATGTTTTTGAATCTAGGGTTATCTGGAGTTCTTACGTTACATATTACTTGCTGTTTTTTATCAAGAAATATTTAAGAATAGTCACTAGGTAAGACCTAAACAAGAATCTGTCTTTTATGGGAGGGTATTTCATAAATATTCTTGCCTTCTCTCGGAAGGAAGAAATGTGTCATCATCATCACTGATAGGCAAACAGCTGCCTTTATGGAACACACTATGTCTTTATTAAGTCATAAATCCAGATCCTTACCTGTTCTGTATCTTGGAAGCCTTTCTGAGCCACACATTCACAAATACTCACAAATATTTATTGGGTACCACTCTGTGCCAGATACTGAGTGAGGCACTAGAGACACAAAGACCTATTTAAAGTGCCCAGGAAAGCAAGTGAACTATAAGAGATGTAAAGCAAAACAAAAACTTGTACTTTCACTAACATATACCGTTGAAATAACTTGCCGAATGGATGCAATTCACAAGATAATTCATTTCTTTATTCAACAAAAGTATATTAAGCCTTTTCCATGTGTCAGATCCTGTGCTGTTTTGAGGACATCCCCGTGAGTAAGAGAGTCTTTGAAGTAGGAGAGCATGGAGTCTGAGGAGACAATCTAACCAATAGATGTGATACCTGCTGCCCTGTTTAAGTTCAGGTGGTGTGGGAGCATGGAATGCTGTTAAACCCAGTAATCTGAAGCCAAGATAGGACATGATCCCTTTGTGGCTGCTTTGTGCTAGGATTTTGACTCTTTCTCACTGCATGGGATAAAATGCCTTCAGTGGGGTCTCAGAGCTCACTAAGTGTTCGCTCCTTTTCTCACCAGCTTGTCCTGCTTGCTTCTTACTCATAATTGTCCTTGGGAAATGTACAACTATAGCCTCCCTTGCTGTGGTTTTAATACCAAATGGAGGTTTTAAATTTTCTTTTATTGGGTATAAGAAAACATATTTTTCATTTCTAAGTGTGAATTCAATAAATTCAAGGTTGTACTCCACTCACTGTATTATTGTCTACTCTGTTGGGTTTCTTCCCTAAATAAGATATCTTAATCAGAATGCAGGCTTTATTTTTGCTTTTAGCATTTTCCACAGCTTCTAATCTTGTTTGTGCCTTTGAAGCCGCCTCTATTACTGTGTCATGTGGTTGCCATCTTTATGGCGTCCAGCAGCCCTGCCTCTTAGCGGTTCCACTTCTATAGTTGCTGTCAGTTCTGGCACTAGAACCAGGACACCTAGGTTCCAATATTTATTGTCATTTTTTTTTTTAGTCTGTCTGATCTTAGACAAATTATTGAGTCTCCACCTCAGTTTTGAGTCCCAACCTCAGTTTCCTCATTTGTAAAATGGAGATGATAATATGTTCTTCAAAGGATTTTTGTGAGGAATTATAAAAAGTATTGAGAATGACATCTGGAACTTTAAAGTTCCAAATAAGTATTAGCTATTATTATTAGGGAATAACTCTAAAATCATTGTCTCAGTCATTAGGTTAACTACCGTATTAGGTATCTACTGCTGTGTATCAAATTGCCCCAAAACTTAGCAGTGTAAAACAATACACATTTCTTCACTCGTAGTTTCTGGACAGAAGTCTGACCACAGCTTAGCTGGGTTCTCTGCTTCAGGGACTCTCCCAAGATTTTAACCAACATGTCTTCCAGGGCTGCAATCTTATCTGAAGGCTTTAGTTGAGACAGATCTGCGTCCAGGCTCGCTCCTGTGGCGATTGACAGGATCCTGTTGCTTGAGAGTTGTTGGACAGAGGGTCATCATTCAGTGGTGGCAGTTGGGTAGAGGCCACCTTCCTTAACACGTTGGTCTATCTAGCTTGCTTTATTAGAGCAAGCCTGGAAGAAGAGCCAAGGAGACAGCCTGCTAGCAGATGAAAGTCACAGGCTGTAACCCAGTTACAAAGTGACATCCCATCACTTTTCCTTTATTCTTGTTTGAATCAAGTCACCAGGTCCAGCCTGCACTCAAGAGAAGAGAATTACACAAGGGCATGAATACTAGGAGGTAAAGGGCATTGGGAGCTGTGTCAGAGCTGCATACCCCACTGCTCTAAAATTAGAATTTCACTGTGTGTTATGCAGTCAAGCACATGGACATGGGATGTACATAAATTAAAGTACTACATTTATTTTCTGGTATAGCAGTGACTTGATCCTGTCAAAAAAAATGTAGCAAACTGACATGAAATATAATTATTTGTTGTTAGTTGTTCCAGGTGTCCTAAATGCTTTAAAAACATTAAAAAGGAGGGCCAGACACAGTGGCTTACGCCTATAATCCCAGCACTTTGGGAGGCCGAGGCAGGTGGATCACGAGGTCAAGAGATCGAGACCATCCTGGTCAACAAGGTGAAACCCCATCTCTACTAAAAATACAAAAATTAGCTGGGTTTGGTGGTGCACACCTGTAGTTCCAGCTACAGGCCCAGCTACTTGGGAGACTGAGGCAGGAGAATTGCTTGAAC